CAGGAAATAAAATAGCACTGCATGTTAGCTGGCTTGAGAACTCACAGTTTAAGAACAGAGAGGAGAATAATAGGTTGCTTAAAAATCCTCCCTTACCGATTTGAAATTAGATTTTTCTGTGCTTAGATCTAATACTAGCTTATCATAAAATACTTCGGGATTATAAGTACAAGTAGATGAGAATCTACAAGGTTATCACCCTTAAGATATGCATTAAAAATTTTTTCAGTCATATAGCTATAGGCTAATAACCACATTAAATTTACATAGCTCACACTCATATGAAAATTTGAAACATTAGCAAACATGGTACAGTGACCACCTTTGGCTCACACTGCTCCAGAAAAGATGTAAAAGTTTTTCCAGCTCTAAGCTTGGTGATTCAGAACATTATGGGGCTGTAGACTAGGATTTTAAGTCTGATGAGATTCTTCAGTCAAAGTACTAAGAATTCAGCTGTCAAAATGAAGGCCTCATGACTGAACTGCAACGGCTAAGAAATTTATAGCATATATCCTGGTGGCCAACATGACACTATCATGCTAGGACTGAATTGTAAATATAGGCAGTATCACACAATACTAATATCATTATGCACTAATTAGCATTATCTCACATTCTGGCAAAACCAGCCTTGAGCAGTCCCAAGTACATGTACTCTCTGCCTATCTTGTCCTACCTCCACACTGGGTCCCCTTCACCAGAGCTCATGTGAGAGTAAGCAAGCGTCTTTATTCCAAAAGCAGAAGGGGAAGGTTAAAAGCAGTCTTCAGTGTTTCCCTCTTGCTAATGAAATTCCTGCCTCTCCTCAGTAGATCACTTATACAAAGCTGAACTCCTGTCTGTGAACAAACTGCAGGGAACTGAGATTCCTGGAGAGGAGTAGGAAGGGTGAGTAGGGCAGAGAGTCAGGAAAAGGAGAGTCCTGGAAGCTAAATGGTGGGAAAAGAGTGCCTGCATCCAGCAGCAGCAAGTGTTGGTGTGAGCGTGCAAGTACCATTCTACTGCAGCCTTCAGAATGAAATTAAGTCCCTACGTTTACCCTAGGACAAGATTTCAGCCCTTTAGCAAGGTCACATCAGCTGATCAGTAGCTTGTTTCTCATTCCCATCTGCAAAACTCTTGACATTTCCATCCCAGCATGATCGTTCAGCTAGCTAATATTGTGAGGCTTGAGGAACGTAGCACTTTTTTTGTTGCTGTTGCTATCCAAACCAGTTAATATCTTCCATGACTATGCACATATCTTGGAACCTGCAGAAGGTAATTAGCACTGAAGGTTTGGGTTAATTACCTCTTAATGGAAAAAAAAACCCAGAAAGGCTTCTTTCATGTTGATCTTCCATCAGTTTTTACAACAGGGAGAGGGAAGGGACAGCTTGCTTCAGTACTCTAAAACAAAGACCAGTGTAGGATTCTAACAATGAGAAAAGACTTTACAAATATGCTCAATGACAGGCTAATTAATTTTGAAACCGCTTTTCTGGGAGGGAATGTGTTTGTGAACAGATCTGCTAACCTAACAAGGGCGGCTTTAAACTTGGTTTATGGGTTTATCGGTGTTAGGTAAGCAAGTCAAGAGGTAAGTAAATGCTAAAACTGGAGAATGAATGCATAGGAAAAGACTACAAGAGGGACTTTCTAATTTTGACTCAGAGGCAAGGGAGCAAATAGACCTCAAATATCTCTGTACAGGGAGAGACACAGCCTGGGCAACAAATGGGGACCATTTCATGTGCACTCACTGCCCTATAACATAGTGGGAAGCATGAAGACTTGGTGGGTAATAGGCACCACTGCAGCCCATACACAGGCTGCTTGGGAAGGAGAGGCAAGGAATATAAAGAGAACCCCTCCTCTTCTTGAGTTGCATTCTATGGATAGGGATCCTTGGCCACACAAACCCATAGTATGAAGCCAGAAGGAAGTGAGCATGCTTGCCAGATCAGGTATCCCAGGAAGGCTGAAGCCATATGTAAGTTTGGTTGCTTCAGCGACTATGCAGCCCAAATGTTTCTAAATAAATCTAGACATGCAACAGATTTTTGTGGTAACTGGAATATGAACTTATTAAAATGCTTTAGCTGGAGGGCCTAAATTTTCTTAAGTTCTGTCCTAGGTGTCCCATGTAATGTCTGGATTTTTTTTAAGACATACAATCTTTTAATGTTACTCTAATATGGGATTGTCTTCTGTCCAAGAAATAGGGGCTCCTATTGTTTATGTTTTTCAGTAAAAGTCTTTAAAAGCATGATTACTAATAATGCCTGTCATTTCAGAAGTTACATTCTGAGATCATCAACAAATATTTATACTAAAAAAAATACCATTTTACATAATTTTTAAAGAATCAGGGTGGTCAGTAACTAACCTTTTCAGTCAGTATTTCCAAGTTTTCCTTTACTCCCTTGGCAAATAATGTTTCCAAGGAAAAAATGAGATTCAGTAATGTTGCTCACGTAAGGGCAACAAAGAAACATGATATAGTGTATATGCCTTTTAATGGTGTTTACTTTTATAACTCTAGTGCTATTGTTCCTAATGCCTCATCAAGCTTATAGTTTAAAAAATTCAGTTAACGTGTGGCTATATGGTGGTTAATTATTGTCTTTCATGAAGAAAACCATCACTCTTCCTCTAACTACAACATATATATGCAATATATTAATTCATTTTAGACTCAGCTATGTTCCACTGAGAAGAAATTTTAGTGGTTTTAATCAGCCAAAATACAGAAATAAATACTGGTCTTCTAGTCTAAATGAACACAAATTTGGCATGTACGTGATTTTGCTTGCTTATTCTCCAAAAAG